TAATGGAAATATTAATGCCATTAAACTCTGGTAGGTAGCTCAGCCCTATATTTTATGGGGTCGATATAATTTGGCTTGGTACCATTTATGGGCTTTGTGTTTATGCGATCCAGTTGTATTAAAAATAATTAATAACTTGTTTGTATGAAACCTCTCCTCTCATTATCTCATCATAATACGATAATTATTTCCATGACTTACCTGCAGACTAAGTTAGCTATCAAAATGACCTTTGTATAGTTTTACAAAATTCAACTCTCTACCTAAACAAACTGAATACACTTTTCCATAACACAGTTCTGAAAGTCATCAATATAAGATATTGCAAAGTTTCCTAGAAGCGTGGCTTTGTTAGTAAGTTGTTAGAAAATGGCTTTCTGAAGTCTCAGTGACTAGTTGAACTTGTTACATTATAACTTGTTACAGTCGACTTAACTGGAAATGGTATTTCAATTATGTATAACAAACATGATGTTGAAATTAATTTCTGTTGTATTTTCCATAGTATCGTTGTGGTTTTTCTTGTTTTAACAGAATTTCTAAAAAAGAGGAGGATCGCAAATGATTTTTTTTTTTATGTATGTAAGCCGATCTTATTCTTTTTTAATTAAATTTGATATCATATCATCATTGAAAATACCATATTAATGCCATTATACTTCGTATTAGTGACGTAGAGTTCTGTATAATTCTGTACAAAAATTGATCAAAATACTTCAATAGATAAGCGTGAAAGACATGGAAATAAGGATTTAATAAGTTACTTCTAGATTATCCTAATGTTCTTAGTTTTATTTTATCATTCACTAGCGACCCGCCTCGGCTTCGCACGGGTGCAGTATGTATGTATTATACATATAAACCTTCCTTAAGAATCACTCTATCTAGTAAAATAGAGCGCATAAAATCCGTTGCGTAGTTTTAAAGATCTAAGCATATATAGGGACAGATAGACGGCGGATAGCAACTTTGTTTTATACTATGTAGTGATTGTACAAGACATCGATCAAATTCAAACAGCAAATTAAAACTTAAATACAGTATCGATACCAACAATCTGCTCACTCCAAAACAGACAACAAAAATAGTAATAATAAAATTATCTTCCACAGATGTTCCTAATAACAATACCAAAAGTGTCAGTGCAGTATCTGTGACTATTACTATAAATATTTACTTGGTTTATAATGACTGGAAGTCCTGTTAAGTGAGAAGAATGGCATCTTATAATCATCAGGAGACACAGTCCAGCCCTGCTAAAGAGGTGCCACGGTAAGTAAATTGACATTATTATTGTCTTTGTTTGTATTTTTTCTATTCACGAAACCATAAGGTTATTTTTTTACTTTTTGAAAGATGATAGAGAAGATATGAATTTTTTTTTTTTTTTTTTTTTTTTTTTTTT